TAATAGAGCAATTTAGAATGACTAAATGCAAAACGTGGCAGAGTAATTTCTTTACAGAAACTAAATAAGTTGAGTAATTTCTCATAGATGATACAGAAGTAAGAACGCAAGTGGAATCTGAACAAAGAAGTACACAGGATGTTTATAAAATAGCTATTTGTAGTTTAGAGAGTAAAGTCAACCCCACTTACAATATTGTTTGTATAACAAATCAAAACGTGTGTTTAATACTTTCAAAATTCAGCAAGCATATATGCAATTTTAAAATGGAATTTGAAAGCTACATACATGCGGTCTGGTGTCCCTTCATACAAAAAGCTTAACATTAACTTTGCCGAGAGTGAAATGTGAATTATGTGCAATGTAAATTATGTTCCTTGGAACCAAGCCATAACTATTTAACTGATACAGTAGGTTGTGACTGATACAGTGAAGCGACATTATCACATTTTTCCTTCCCCTGCTTCGAGCAGCTGAGCAGAAAAGACATTCCTGATTTCTCAGGAGAGGATTAGTAAGCAGGAATCCTTAGATGGTCTGTGCTTTGGCTGAAGCTGGTACACAAGGAGAGGGAAGACAACCTTTCTTCACTACAAAGGCTCTTCTACGACCGTAAAGATTTTTCAAAAGCGCCTCTGTAACTCACAGCCAAAGCAGTCATGGGTGCAACACCATGTTAGTAGTGGGGCGAGACAAGCTCCATAGCAGGTGTCCTCTGAGAGGGTATCTCATGGAAATACATCTGCCCAGGTCCTACAGGCTGCCCTTGATGCCCAGGTTACAACGCAAATGCTGCCAGAAACACCTCTGGGGAAAGAGGAACAGGTTGATTGTGCGGGGAAAAAAAATGGTGCCTGGGGGCCAGCAGAAATAGGCAGGACCCCCAGCAGCCTGGACGAAGCCAGAATGTGTTGGACATGGCTGGAAAGAGCCACTGATGGCAGGGAGCAAAATGCCTCCTCCTCCTACTCCTAGGGTTAAGAAAATTATTGTGATCGGATAGGTCCTCTTCTGTTGGAAGAAATATTTTTTCAGAATGACTGTAGGACCTATTGAAAATAAGAAGCTCTCCATAATATGAGGTTCCGCACATTTCAGAGCTGGATTTGAAATGGCAAGAAACATTTATAATACTGCTTAAGCTATTAACGGAACAAACACTGTTGCCTACTACTAATATCTGGTTGCTCTCTTTGGTTGTCTCTTTTTACTTTTTCGCCGTGCTGCCTTCCAACCACAGTGCAGCACGCCACTAGCAACATATTTAAATGGTGATTTTCAGCAAGTTCCTGTTTCTACTCCATTCTTTCCTTTTGTAAAGATAAGAGAAAAACCAAAAACTGAACTATAAATAAAAATGTGGACCATATCATTATGTTCTTAATGTCATTTCCTTGCATATAGGAATAAAATCCCTCATTGAAAGGCAACCATCTGAAACGTGAAACGTAGCAGTAGTTCTGCAGAGCCCAAGAATATTAACATAATGATATGTTTAGGACAAAGTAAAAGAAAATATTGTATTTAATAGAAATTGCTAGGATAATGCAATTATTTATAATGAATGAGTGGAATTCTTATTTCTCAGTGTCGAGACTTGGAACATTTTTCCTTCCTTCTGGTAACTTCAATTTTTTAATAAGAAAAGTTGAACAGGACATGAATGGGTCGAAGGAGGACAGTTCCAGAAACAGTGCTGGTTAACTTCTTTGGGGACATTGGGTCAGAACTGACTCAAAGGAATATCTTCCACCACACAAATAACTTAATGACATGGTTCCAAGCACCGTAGATTCTTTATTGTCCACAACTTAGTCTAGTATACTAGTTTAGATTAGGTTTTGAGATACCACATACTCATAAAATACTGGCTTCAGGCCTTTATTATAAATGGACCAAAATTTTACTACAGTAAGCCAGCTTTACAAAACGTCTTTGATAAAATGCCAGAAAGGAATGATCTAGCATCTTGGTCCCATATTTCAATTAAAGTCATTAAGGAATATAGCTGAACTTAATGGTAGCATAAAGAAACTGTAATACATGAGAGGTTCCAATTATTATTATGAGAGTCCACAAAATTATTTATGTGGCAACAAATTCCCGTTAGAACCATGGTGTTGATGCTGGCAGACGCTTTTCCGACAACGACTTGTACATTAGTTTCTGTGGGTCACTGTGGATGTGCTGGAAGAGTGAAAAGCTTACATCTACTTCATATACTGGTTTTACCTACCAGAAGAAGCCACAGAAAACTCCTACTATTTGTATCTGAGCCTCCCCAGCAGGTATGAGAGACCTACAGGGTATATTGGCTATGATGAAACACAGCAGGACCAACCTCCGCCAATAATAGTTGCTGCAGTGGGAAATCACAGCTCCAAAAGCAGCAGTATGAAAATGAATTCTCAACTATTTATAAAAAAAACCCCAAAGCAAACTAAATAATCTCATTGGTGAGAAGTGGATACATTGGCAGCATTCTTAAATATTATTGGTGTTCAGTTAAATGTAACCTCCCTAATCATGTTAGCACTTCTTAACATTCAAGAGGATTAATTTTTTCCCACTGAGGCTTGCAAAGCATTATCTACAGAAGATCATATTAGAAGGGACAGGACTGAATTTAATGCACTGGATTTGAAGTAATTTACAAAACTCATTAAAATTCCAAAGATGCAAAATGGGTATTCTGTGATGGGCTTCTGCGAATCTGGAGAACTGATTCCCACCCCCCATGGGAATACTTTAAACAAAGGAAATTCTGCAGTTAGAAACAGAAAAGGTCCACGACTTAAATGAAAAATGTGCTTTGTAAATTGAAATATATCATTAGTTTGTATTTTTAACTGAAGCTTGTTAAATACAATCTAAGTGAGTATGGGAAAGCAGAAGAAACTGCTACATTTTAGCAGATGTTAGTTACTCATGGGAATCACAAATGGAGTAGTAACTTTAAACAACTGTGGCGATAGCAATGCAGATTTAAGACAATAATGGGAGAGGATAGAAAAATACATTTTTTCTCTTCTCCAGGACAATTTTTCTCACAATTTATACTTAAATGCTTTCTTTACTGTGTAACCCATAAATGTTGCTAATGGACTAGCAAAGTTTGAATGAGAAATATTATCTTTTATTAGACCAGAACACAGAACTGGAAAGAGCAGATGCTGTTTTGGGCTGTCTGTTCAGAAGAACTTGCCAAAGAAAGCCTCTTCTATTTTCTTTACCTACATTCTCTTGATCAAATAGAACATATCACCTATCCCCACAGATCCTGATTATATTCAAAGACCATCACAGCTATAACAGACTCGTCAATTTATTTCAGGGATATCCAAACTTTGCCCGCATCCAGCCTTTACTTTTGTTTTCAGAGATGCCTCCCATACGTGCCACGGGTTTTGTCATCCAATGCTTCATCCCAATCTGACAGACAAGGTGGTTCGAAACGGTATGCCTCGTGTTTTGATCTATAACGTAGGAGCTGTACCTCTTTAATATATGAGGATGGCATGTATTATACTGAAAAACTTTTAATCTTGTATCAGCGATTACAGAACCCAAGAGGTAAATAAAACGCTGACTCTGGGTGCGTAGGGGCTAGCAGGCTCTGCAGGGAAAAGGAATGTGTCAGACCTATAGAGGCAAATGTAGATATTGAGTGAGGCACACGGCACACGCTGAATCAAATAAATGTATGAACAGATAAAAGACAGAGATCAACTGTCCTGCACCATCTAGGCCCTGTTGCAGGCATATTTATCTCCAGAGGCCTGCTCTTCTTTCCGAATTGTTAGACATGCTTCTGTTGGCTTCCTGTAATTCAGCTGCTCAGCTGCTCTCTCTAATTTTTGGATCAAAATTCAGCCTTGAGTTGAAAGAGCAAGGAAATGAGCTTAAACATCACAAAAGAAGAAAACCAGAGCTGAAGTGTTCACGATAGGTTCAAGATAGTGTTCACTGACCCGCAAATCCACTTTTAACTATATAGGCCTTACACTAGTTTGTGTGCATACTGGATAGAGTTTGGTATAGCCATATGAAAGTGAATAATTTAGTGAAAGAATTGGCATTATAATCCAAAGTCAGGGTCAAAAAGATAAAACGAGTCACATTTATTTCTGGTACAAGTTCCTTATATTAGTTTAACTAAAACAAAAAAAGCATTCTGTAATATAGGAGTAAAATTAAAAAGTTGAAAAGAAAAATAGGAAGGAATGAGAAAAAAGGGCTGTAGGGAATGATGAATTATAGTACGAAAACAAGAGATAAAAACTGCCAGTGAAGGGATTAAGGAAGGCAAGACATCACCAGAGCTGGGAGAAAGGAAGATTATTTCAGTAGTTGAATTATAGCTAGATTGACAGTCTCTGTAGAGACTTCATCAGGCAAGCTGTTATTAAACCCTTTCAATTCTGTATTCCAAAACTCCTGAAAATATACTGTTGGACTTCTGAAATCACTCTGTGTGTTTGTGCATAAGCATGGGTGTATTGCATCTAGCGCACTGGGTCCAAATCTCAATTTAGGTATTTTTAGGTAAGGTGGTAAGCAGAAAAAAATTATTGGCAGAACATACTGTAACAGAAGGTAAGGACATTGTATACATTTACATAAAGTGACTCATAAAAATGTGCCAATTAAAATATAAATGAGTAGTGTCATTAAAAAAAGATTTAAGATCCCTATGACTACATTAAGTTATAAAGGGCAGCTAAAATTTGTTAATGGGTAAAACATGGCAAAAGTGGTATCTTGCAGTGTGTAGATGCATGGCCTCAAATACTGATAAAAGAGCACATAAAATTCCATAATAAATATTAAATGGCAATGATTCCAAAAATTATTGACTCCTCCTGTCAGATGAAGAGTGGATCTTTGCTACCTGTTTTCACCACTTACAGAATGGTTTCCCAACATTTTGGTGTGGCACATCAGTAAGACCTACATCAACAGTTCTGGCCCTTGTTCAGAGCTTCAGACTACAAACTCACCTGCTCCTGGGTCATCTTCTGCAGCTCTTTCTCCCAAGCTGCCCGGTCATCATCCAGGTGGTAGGAAGCAGGTGGGGTGAGTCCACGCAGAATCAGGGGGTCACGGTCGTGGCAGAGAGCTGTCAGATGTCCAATGTACAACTTCAACTTGCTGCGATTCTGATCAAGTTCTAAGAGGGGCTGAATTATCTGAAATAAGAGAACAGAGACAGTGAGGAACAGCCTGAGATCCAAACAGTGGTGAAGGCAAAGATCAACCTCTACGTTACAACCTTGTTCAGCTTCATACTGGCAGAAACCTGAACACCCTCCCTCCGCCCCGGTACTCCTATCCCATAATCCAGCAACCATCCAGCTGAAGCAGAAAGAAACCAAGCACACTAGGGGAAGGGGATGTGGTGATGATAGCTGTCTGATTAATATAGGAAATAATGATGATATGGGTGAAAAAAGAAACAGTATTAAATTGAATGCATTAACTGTACTGATTATCCAGCAGTGCTTCAGTCAACTATTTCAACTCCCTGCTTTAAGGAAAATTAATTTTTCTGATAAAAGGTGTCTGTCCACAACTAAGGCAATAGCAATGTAGATTTTAACTTGTTTTGCCAACAAACATTTCAATGTCACTTAAGTATGCAATCACATGTTCTAAACAGAATAGTTTTAAATGATGCCAAGATGTTTGTTTCTAAGATGAACATATCTCTACTGTAGAAACTGGATAGAGACATATCTTAACCAGAAATTTAAGATATAGTTTTCTATAGTTTTGAAAAGGCAATGACTTTAATTTATTATGTAAGCCAAATTCTACACAATAGACTAAAAAAACTAAAATCAAAGGACTTCAGTAAGCACTATTTTATTTCATTATACTTTAACCCAATCTGAATCTAATCCTTGTTCCTCATTGCAATCCAAACTGGAGTCATCCAGTTCCCATTAAAAGTATTTGAAGAGCCATTTTTCATTTGTTTTACAAAAGTATAGAGCTCAAGTGCATAAATACACACTGGGAATCCCTCAATATGCCCTTCCACAAGAATACTGTTTCATATTGTTCTAGGTGTTTGTGGGCATGTATTCAAAACTGCAGTAATACACAACTCTAAGGTTTACAGCTGATGAAAAATCAAGGAAGAATCGGGCTCTGTACCTCCACACCATAAAATGAGATGCTGAAGCTACAGGCACTGATGTGCACCAGCCAGGAGAGCTGGAAAGCCTTGCCACGATATACTGGCAACTTGTCTTCGTGTTCCCAGGCAGGGGCTGCACCTGCTGTTTGTTAGTGGGCTGGGGATATCTTTTCAATAGGACACCTCTGACCCTGCTAATGAATAAGGAGTGAGATAATCCCTGAGTCAACAGGAACAGGGTGCTGGCACTACTTTCAACAAAGACTCTGGCTTCGACCCCTTTTAATAAGGTTGTCAGGGCTCACTTATTTTGCTTCTAACACTGTTCTACATGGATTAATTTATGTAGAGTGAGAGGATCTGAGAGCCATGGCTAAGCAGCTAACTAATGTCAGGCTCCTTGTCCTGCAGAGCGTAGCTGCACTCAGCAGCCTACACCAGAACATCAAGGTGGCAGCAGCTATGAAAAGCCACAGCGACACAGCAGCCATGGTAGAGGAGACAGACGAGAAACCTGCAGAGAGAGTGAGCTCACATGCTTTATTAAAAACCCTACTGCTACGTGCAGCCTCGGGGCAACATCTGTTTACAGATATGTACACATACAAAAATATGGTTTGAAGTATCAAGACTGAAAACTGCAGCAGGGCAGAATACTCTGCGCTCTTCTATACAGGGCAATAGGAAGGGATATTTTAGTAGCATCAACACAGTTACATTTCACTTCCATCACCAAGCACAACTGTATTTAGCCAATTATATCCATCAGCTTTGGTTGTTTGCTGAATTTGCACTATTTATCCCAATTTCTTATAATTTGGGTTACCTAGATTATGATCTGAAAGTGTACTGCCTGTGCAGGTGAAAAAAAGTGATGCTTCTAATTTAACTGATGTCTTTCTTACTATTCGGTTTGCCCACAGAGGGTGGAGTGATGGAATATCACATCTTAAAAAAATACTGTTTTATAAAAATGTGAAAATTAAGTAGTCAACGTCTAATAACTAGCTGTCCAATCAATATAGTAGCTGCCTTGTATTCTTTTTCAGATACCGCAGTCTAATGAATATCCATCAGATGTCCAGATTTCAGTCTGAGAAGAATCCGACTTGCCAACCTTCCCAGCTGTTCTTTGTGAATGGAAACCCCCTCCGATAAAGAGAAAGCAGAGCTATCTAGCAAGTAATGATGGAAGATTTTCATACAACAGTCAAATTTGATTGCTTGGGGACAAGTCCCCTTTTGAAGCACATTCCTCCTGTACCCTTCCCCCCTTACCTCGAGCTGGAAACAGGCCAAATGAGGCGTGTGAAAGTTCTTAACTAGCAGCCCTCCCAAAGCTGTTCACAGAGCAATCATTCCTCTCACTTGGGATCCATTAAAACCTGCCAGTCAACTCGGAAATGCCCTTATATCTGCGTTCCTGCCATATCTAATTTGAACTAGCCTCTTAGCAAGAGGCACTGTGCTTCCCACACAGCAGAGCTGCCACTACCTTATCTCAAGAGGGTGTAAGAACATTTGCTAAGTAGAATGGCAGGGCAGTGCCAGATTCATAAACCACATCGTGTTCTCATGATCAGCCCAGAGCTGTAGAGCTTTCTAGGAAAGCAACGGATAAACAGACCAAACCCTGGAATACCTTCTAAAGCAGCCAATCGTCATTAATTGCCCTGATAGGTTTAGGTCATCCTCATCACTGCATGGAATGAAGTCTGCTTAATGTGCCCTCAAGTTCAGAATATTGTTAATGGCCAGCTAAGTTTGACAACGTGTTTCACTAAAAAAGGCAATCACTACAACGCTGCAGTAGAAACATGAAATGCCTGACAAATCTCTGATACAAACCCAAACCATCTCTCCCAACTGATAAAGACATTTGGGAACATATTCCAGAACAAATTCAACTTGGAAACAACATGTTCAGTTTTTTTGAGATTTCACAGATTTTTTTTTTTCTTTGTGCATGACAAATGTGAATCTAATGGTAGTTTTGCAAGTCATTGGGGCAAAAAAATACTTTAGAACGAAATTAATACTGCTTCTTCAGTGGTAGTCCTGCTGTTGCTGTATAATGGTCAGCTGAAATATGAGTAACTGTATTTAAAAGTTTTTTATGATAAGAGTCTGCATTTAAATATGTGTATATATACGCTGCATAGATAAGAAAAGGTACGTGTAACAATGTGGTTGGAGAGACCTATCTAAATGTTTGGTCACTTTTACTGTGAAAGATGAATACACCTCTCATACAGAGACCGTGGTGTCTAAATGCTTGTCTGAGCAGTGTCAAATGTAAATACACAAAAGCACATAGGTGGTTATGTGAAAAAGAAAACCAGTGAATGGGTGGTATAAGTGCAGCAGTGTCGATCCGAGACAAATGCAATATTGACTATCCATAGACGTCTGTGGAATAAAGTATGGTTTTAATCAATGTGTAATAGGACTCGTTCACCACAACCACCAGCTTTAAATTATGGGTTCTCCAGGCAGAAGGGCTAATGACCTGGTCACCTTTCTGCCTCCTAACATTCCCTTCTTCTTTGAAGGAAGCAACCATTTTTGCAGAACCAAGTAATTAACTTTACTTAGTTAATTTCAGAGAATACCTTCTAAATTTCTACTTAGCAATAAATTTGCAGCTCCCATTTTGAAGAAAGTCATATATGCACCCCAAAAAGCTTGTCTGTTTTTCCAGCTACATCAGCTGATCTTGTAAAAGTTACCTCCTTACACAACTTGCCTGACTCATCAGTCACGCATCAACATGCATGTTGATCATGGATCAACAGCAGTAATCTTTTTCTTATGGATACATGGCTATGATTTCTTTGAGCAAGCAAAAAAAAGGAGAAAATAGCATGTTCTTGACACAGCAATGCCAATACATTTGGCACTGGCACGACTGCTGTCATATGCCCCTACTAGCTTGCCTACACTGCTTGCACATATGCTGCATGTATATACTCACTACAGAACGCTAAAAGGCAGAGTAATGCAGATAAGTGGTCTTCATTTTGCAATCAAATAATTCAGTAGATTTTTCTCAACTTACCCATAGATCTTTAAATATTTGAGAAAAATCCGTGGAAGAACAGCTATATCAAGAAGAAAATAAAATAGAATTGACAAGTAATCTCGGGGTCAAAGTAAACAACGAGGTCAAAATTTCACTGTTTTTGTGTTAAAAGTGTTACAAAGAAGTGTAGACGGAATGAATCTCAATATTTCCAAGGAATTAACTAATTTGAGAAATGCTCTAGCTTGCTAGCCTGCTCGATGGACCTTGAGTGTTCTTTGTAGATCCTGCAAAGGCACAAAAAAATAAGGAATTCTGAAAAATACCCAACCAAAACCCCAAAACTCCACCAAAGACCCCCTCAACACTTCAGACTGGACATAACAAATATGCTTGGAAAACAAGTTAAATGGAGGTAGCCCTTTATCTCCTATCAGTCACGTTTTTCATGTGAATGTGGGAAATTATTTTCAAACTTTGTTACATACAGATGCAACTATGCTACCCAACGAAACCTACTTCCCAAACTAGCATTACACAGGAGAAGATGAGCTCAAAGTCTGGGTAAGTACATATGTTTGTTAAAAAGAAATTATTCCAAGGAGGACCTGACAAATCTAACAAAAGATGGAGTGGATCACAGGGGGTCCTCAGATGCCTCCCTGTATCTGGGTTTTATTATAGATATTACCAGACAAGAAAATTTTGCCTATATAGCAAAATATCTTATATTGGGAGATATGGAAATAAACTAAGATACCGAATGATATAGTCTGGAAGTATTTGCATAGCAAATTGAATTACGCATTCTTGCTCAGACCATTTGTGTTTGTTTGGCAACAAACGCAAGGGTTCAACTACAATCATCTTGTAACCATTGAATGCAATGGAGTTTTATGAGGCATGCATTTGGCTCAGAAAGTGCAAAGCTTTCCCAAATTCAGAACAATTTATCACTGATGTCTTCCCTTCATTATTTTAAATGGAAACAGAAGAAAGTTCTCAAAAAGACACAGCCTGACCTC